TCACCGTCGGATCTTTATTATTCGATAATCCACTCGCTTGTTGAATGTGTTCAGTCATGTTTCTGAACCAGATGCTTTCCCTAGTTGCTCCATGCAGTGCAATGATTTCACCATGGTTTGAAGATATATCAACAAGTGTTTGTTTCTGAGAACGCCAAGAAAATGCAGTTCCACCAATAGTGAAAACGTAGCCAGTCTGAGATCTCGCCTTATGTGGGACTGATAAATATCCTGCATCTGCAAAACCAATCATTTCATGTTTTTTATTATTTGAATAAAATAATCCCAGGTTGGTTGTTAATTGGAGATATCAGAATATATGCCTGATTCCATTCCAGTGTCTGCTCATAGGTGACGAGTTATATCTGGCTAATAAGTTGGTAGCAAAAGATATATCTGGTCTGGTGCAATTGGCAAGATACATAAGAGCTCCTATTGCACTCATATATGGTACCTCAGGACCAAGTACTTCTTCATTTTCTTCACAAGGTCGAAATGGATCATTTTCAACATCCAATGTTCGGTTAACCATCGGCGTACTAAGGGGATTAGCTTTGTCCATATTAAATCATTTCAGTACTCTTTTATTATAGTTAGATTGATGAACAAATGTCCCATTTTGTGCTCTCTCTATCTGTAAGCCGAGGCAATATTTAGTTTTTCAGAGATCTTTCATTTCAAATTCGCCTTTCAGAAAAATGACTGCTTCTTCATTTCATTTGTTGTCCAAATAATATTAAGATCATCAACATAGACAACAATTATCACAACTTCATCATGTGATTTTTTTATAAAGACACACAGACATATTTGATCTTTTAGTATCCCTTTTTTATTAATTGTTCACTCAAACAATTATACCACATACGCCCAAATTGTTTCAAGCCATATAATGATCTTTGCAACTTTAATGCACGTAACTCTTTAGGTTTAAAGTTAAGTGCTTCGGGCATTCTGATTCCTTCTGGGATTTTCATGTATATGTCGGTGTCTAATGATCCATACAAATAAGCAGTTACAACATCCATGAGACGCATCTAAAGATTTTCATAGATAGCTAAACTCATCAAGTATCTGAAAGTAAGTGCATCCATGACAGGGGAATATGTCTCATCATAATCGATCTCTGACCTTTGGGAGAATCCCTGTGCAAAAAGGCGAGTTTTATATCTCGTGATCTCATTTTTCTCATTTCTTTTTCTGATGAAAACCCATTTGTATCTAGGTCCTATGCATTTTGGTATAATGGAAATAGGCCCAAAAACTTTTTGTTTATTGAGTGAATCTAACTCGACTTGGATAGCGCCTTCCCATTTATCTCAAACAGGTCTTTACTGACATTCAATTACAGATTTTGGTTCAGGACCCTCAATTTCATTATCATTTTCTTTTGATACCATATATGCAAATGCATCATCAATATTTATGATTTCATCACGCTTCCAAAGATTCTCATTATTTACGTAATTGATGGAAATTTCAATATTTTTATTTCGTCCCGAAATTTTTTCATCATCTTGATTCTTTTTCAAATTCGGGTCATGAATTTCTCTTTTCTTTCGAGGATTCTTATATTTAGATCCAACTGGTCTTCCTCGTTTCAAGCGTGTCTTTGACTCATTTGGCGTATCGCCGTTTGTCATTTTGTTTGGAATCTCAATTCGAGCAGGGGCATTTACAGCTGCCACATGTGATTTGGTTACCCTTTTTAAATCAGTAAATGCATCTGACAATTGATTTGCAATATTCTACAGATGTATGATCTTTTGAACTTCTTGATCTCTTTGTTTGGTGGGAGGATCAAGATATGATATTGATGATGTACTCCATTCAATATTTCTCTCAATTGACTTTTCATTCCCACCTAAGGGGGAAACAATTCTTCATTAAAATGACAATCATCAAACCGAGTTGTAAAAACATCACCTTTTTTTGGCTCAAGGTATTTGATTATTGATGAAGATTCATATCCAACATATATTCCCAACCTTCTTTGAGGCCCCATTTTTGTACGTTGGGGCGGAGCAATTGGTACATACACTGCACAACCAAAAACTTTTATATGTGCAATATTTCTCGACCATATGCCAACTATAATGGCGAGTATGTATGGTATGCACTTGGTCTTATTCGAATTAGATCATCTGCATGTAGAATAGCATGTCCCATACTGAAGTGGGGAGTTTGTTCCTCATTATCAATGGTCTAGCTATAAGCTGCAGTCGTTTAATTAATGATTCTGCTAGACCATTTTTAGTGTGAACATGTGCCACAGGATGTTCAACATCAATTCTCACTGCCATACAATAATCATTAAATGCTTGAGATGTAAACTCACCAGCCTTGTCAAGTCTGACTCTTTTGATAATATAATCTAGGAATTGAGCCCTTAGTTTAATAAGTTGGGTGAGTAATTTAGCAAATGCCACATTTCGAGTTGATAACAAACTCACGTGAGACCATCTACTAGAGGCATCAATCAACACCATAAAATATCTGAATGGACCACAAGGTGGATGAATAGGTCCACATATATCACCATGAATCCTTTCTAAAAATAATGATGATTCATGTCCGACTTTAGTATTTGATGGTCTCACTATCAATTTTCCTTGAGAAAAGAGGCACATGTCAATTCATGTGTTTGCAATATCCTCTGATTTTTTAATGGATGGCCACTAGAATTTTCAATAATTCTTCTCATCATTATCGAGCCAGGGTAACCAAGTCGATCATGCCAAAGTTTAAACATTTCATTTGACTTTGAATTGGTTGTAGCATAAGCCTCGATTATATTAATCCGGGTGCGATATAAACTCGAGGATAAAACGGGTAACCTCTACAAAACACATTTATTTCCCGCAATATTTGAGGTAATGCAAAGATATTCAACTCCTCATTTATTCATTGTTTCAACGTGGTATCCGTTCTGGTAACACAAAACTTCTCGACCAGCTGGAACTTGAGTAATCGCCTTCCTTCTCACCGGTTGAACGTCGTGCACCTACAAAGAACTCTCACACCGGCGGGGTTTTCCGATGAAGAGCCTCCGAAGCTTAAGTCAGTGTATATTCAATCAATTCTCAAGAGTAAGTAGTAGAATGATCGTGTTGAAGAAGAAAGGCTCACCCCCTTTATATAGGGGTGAGATACCTGACCTAGGGCTGCCCGGATTTGATGAGCTGTCTGCCCTAACTGCCCGTCCGTACACACCAAACGCGTGTGTCAGAGGTAGTCGTCGCCACTATCGCCTGCACCAATCCTCTTTGGACGCGTGTCCTCCTGCACATGGGGTAGGCTGTCAGAGGTGGTTATCGTTATCCACCACTGCCTTCTTGACACGTGTCCCCCTGCACATGGGGTAAATATTCTCCTGGAATTCTGTCAGAGGCTTCCTTCACGCGCCTATGACTATGTCGAACAGCGTGGTGTTAAGTCCTCGAAGTATTCGACCTGTTGAGGTAGAATAGGTTGCTCGATCATGTATCTGGTCGAATGATAGTTTGGTCGACAGCCTTGCTTGGTCGACTGGTTGACTGCTCAATTTCTTTGGCTTCCTCATAATACGACCTCCTCGACCGGTCAAAAGACCGGTTCATCCTTGTGGGTATAATATCCTATATCATCTAGTCCCCCCCACTCTGGTCGAGTCTGAATGACTCGATCTAAGAGTGAATTAGTATTTATCGTCCTTCTGGATGGTTCGTCGTTAGATATCGACCAGCTGGCAAGCTTCCCGCTCATTTTTTCGAATAATTCCCCATTAATCACTAGAAATAAAGTTATCTGCTTTAAGTCCTTTCTGTCGCACCCGCTTTCTGCCACGCGTCACGTCTGTCATGTGTCAGGTGCTTTAATTATTGCGCCTCCTCGCCTAACGCGTCTGCTTTGATCTCCGTGCAAATTAATACTCCTCCCCGTTGGATCTAACTTTAATCCGACGGCCCTTGGCTCTCCACCTTTCAATCTCCCAAAGTATAAATTCCATACTTAGCGTATTTTCAAACTTTTTTCCACCTTCACAGTTTCTGAATTATTCTGCACCCAGAATTCTCTCTGCAAAAAACCTTCGTTTTCTCGGTGATTTCTCCTGCGCTCCTTCGAACTTCCATCAATTATCGACCCACGGTTATGAGTAAGTCTCTTCACACTTGAATTTGTATTCTTTATGGTTCTATTTTGTGTATTCTTGGATTTTCAATATTGGGTGCTCTTGATCTGCTTGCTGAATCGTTTCAAATTGGCTCGTTTTGTGTTGAATTTGTGCTTGGAATACTCTTGTTTGTCTATTGAGTGTTGAGGATTTTGCCTCTCCTTTGAAAATTTTTGAAATTTCCGTCCCTTTACCCCCCAAATTCTCCTTCTGGTTTTTGGGTTGCTCTCCCCTAAAACCCTAATCTTTCTTCTCTCCTCTTTCTTCTTTGCGACGGCTTCCTTTTGATATTGTTCTCTTTGTTTTTGTTTTGATTTTCTTTTCAGACTCTGAGACATCCTCTGATTCAGTTGAAATACTACCATCTGCGCTCGAAGCTGTCCCTCTCTCTATCCTTCGCCCCGGCGAGACTGTTCCTACCCGTGTTTTTACGGCCCGCGTCGCTTCTTCGAACTGCGGGGATACCATGGATAACGTTCCTCTCCGTCATTGTCGACCTCCTCTTGGCGCGTTAGACGAGCCGGAGGAGGACGAGGTTGTTTCTCCACAGCCCACTGCTCCTCCCTCATCGAGTTCTCTGCCCAAACGATCCTCGACCAAAAAACTCTCCAAGCCCTCTTCTTCTACTTCCCTTTCTCACCCTTGGTTCAACCCTGATAAAATCGGCCAACCTCTTGGTTGGGCGTTCCTCA